GCAGCAGCAGCAGCAACACCACCACCACCACCGCAACTAACGTCGCTGGAGCTGCACCTTGTGGGCCTCCCTTGGGCCTCCCCCCAATGAGGGGCCCCCCCATGGGGCCCCCCCTGGGGCCCCTAGGGGGGCCCCCGCTGGGGGCCCCCATGGGGGCCCCCTTGGGGGCCCCCCTGGGGGCCCCCTTGGGGGCCCCCCTGGGGGCCCCCTTGGGGGCCCCCCTGGGGGCCCCCTTGTTGGATTGTTTGAGGCTGGTTTTGACGAGTGTGAGTGGGGACAGCGAAAGCTTGTGGCGAAATTGTCAAAAGTTTGGAAAGTCATTTTGCTGCTGCGCTGCTGCTGGGTATTTGCTGGGAGTTGGCGATCGGCATTTGGGGAATTGTTTGTTGGACTTCACCAGTGGGGAGGTGCGCAGTTGGGAAATAAAAGAATTAATGGCATTTAAAGGGGCTTTGATGGCATTTTAGTGGCATTTTAATGGCCTTTTAATGGCATTTTAATGACATTTTAGTGGCATTTTAATGGCATTTTAATGGCATTTTAATGGCCTTTTAATGGCCTTTTAATGGCCTTTTAATGACCTTTTAATGACCTTTTAATGGTATTTTGATGGCATTTAAATGGCATTTTGATGGCATTTTAAGGGGATTTAAATGGCATTTAAATGGGATTTAAATGGGATTTGAATGGCATATAAATGGGATTTAAAGGGGAATTACAGGGCATTTAGATGGGGATTAAGTGGTAGATTAATGGGGGTTTTAATGGGGGTTTAAAGGGATTTAAATGGCATTTAAGTGACACTTAAACGGCATTTAAAAGGAATTTAAATGAGATTTAAATGACATTTAAATGGAAATCGAAGGGAATTTAGAGGGGAATTGAAGGGGGAATTAAGGGAGTTTCTGGGGATTTAACTGGGGATTTAAATGGGATTTAAATGGAGGTTGATTGGCAGTTAAATGGGTTTTAAATGGGATTTCAATGGCATTTAAATGAAATTTAAATGCCATCTAATTGACATTTAAATGGGATTTAAATGAGATTTGAATGGGATTTAAATGGGATTTAAATAAAATTTAAATTCCACTTAACTTACATTTAAATGGGATTTAAATTGGATTGGATTTAGGGTGGAATTAATGGGGATTAAATGGGGAATTAATGGGGATTTAAATGGGATTAAGTGGAATTTGAATGGGTTTTAAATGGGATTTAATCGGAGGCTTGATGGGGATTTAATATGATCTGAATGGGCTTCGAAAGGGATTTAAATGGGATTTAAATGGCATTTAAATGGGATTTAAATGGGATTTAAATGGGATTTAAATGGGATTTAAATGGGATTTAAAAGCCATTTAAAAGGGATTTAAGTGGCATTTAAATAGGATTTAAATGCCATTTAAATAGGATTTAAACGGGATTTAAATGGGATTTAAATGGGATTTAAGCGGAGGTTTAATGGGATTGAATTGGGGATTTAAATGGGAATTAATAAAGAATTAAATTGGGGATTAATGGGAATTAAAGTGGGAGTAAATGAGAATCAAACAAAGAGACTGTTGCTTCCCCAGCTCTTTGCTGCTTCCCCTCACATCCTTCCCAGGCGTCCCTGCTGCTGCTGCTGCTGCTGCTGCTGCTGCTGGTGCTGCTGCTGCTGCTGCTGCTGCTGCTGAACAGTGTGTGGACATAGACTTTGGCTACTCCTTCGACTTTGCTGTCTCCGAACTGCCAGTCCCTGAACTGTCTCCTTTCCGGCTGTCTCCCTCAATGCTGCGAGTTGTGGGGCCCCCGGGCGCCAGCCACTATCCCTTGCTGCTGTCTCCCTTCTTCAGCAGCAGCAGCAGCAGCAGCAGCAGCAGCAGCATCAGAAGCAGCAGCAACACCAACAACAGCAGCAGCAGCAACAACAACAACAGCAGCAGCAGCAGCAACAACAACAACAACAACAACAACAACAGCAGCAGCAGCAGCAGCAGCAGCAGCAGCAGCAGCAACAGCAGCAGCAGCAGCAGCAGCAGCGCGGCGGCTGCCCCAGTGCATGCGTGGACTGCTGGGGCTTTGGGCGGTTTTGAAAAATGGCTCGCGGAGGCTTTGGGGTGTCTGCGCAGACACCGCATTGTGGTGGAGGCGGTGGTGGAGATTTTCGTTAGAGACCCTTTGGGCTGCTGCAGCAGCGTCAGCCAAACCCTAAACCCTAAACCCTAAACCCTAAACCCTAGACTCTAAACCCTAAACCCTAAACTCTCAGCCGCAAATCCTAAGCTCTAGACCTTATATAATGGACCCCCAGCCCGCAGGCTTCAAACCTACACCGAAACTTCAAGCGCGAAAGTCCTAAACCCTAAACCCTAGATCTGACCTCCTAAACCCTAAACCCTAAACCCTAAACCCTAGACTAAGTGCGTCTCTCTAGTATAAACTTCAGAATTTAAATCGGGGTCTCCTAATTGTCCAAGAGTTTAGGGGCCCCCAAAGACATGGGAGGCCCCCCAAGGGTTTAGGGGGCCCCCGAGTGTTGGGGGCCCCTCAGGGGCTTGGGGGGCCCCTGGGGGGCCCCCGTGTCTGTGGCAGCTTTGGAGAGCTGCTGCTGCTTCTTGCGAGTTTGCTGCTGCTGGCAGGCTGCAGGGCGAAAGGCTGCAGTGTGGGGCGATCCCGGGATCGTCTCCCAGGACCCTGGGATCGTCTCCCACTCCCGTGGGATCGCCTCTCCTCTAGAGGCCGGCACTGTGCCCTTTGGGGGGCCCCCCGAGGACCTCTTGACAGCCACTCTGCAGCTGCAGCCAACCCTCAAAAGGGCCCCCCAAGGGGGCCCCCCAGGGGGACCCCCAGGGGGCCCCCTAGGGGTTCCTCCAGGGGGCCCCCCAGGGTGCTCTTCAGCGGGGCCCCCAGGGGGGCCCCCAACGGGACTCCCAGGGGGGCCCCCAGGGGGGCCCCCAGGGCCCATCGGGGGCCCCTTGGGGGCCCCCAGGACTGCTGTCCGGAGGGCAGACGGGCGGGGAGACAGCAGGGGCCCCACAGTGCAACGGGGGCAGCAAATAATGGCAATTCTAAGAAGGAAGTTGCAGGGAGAACATCCATCTCTTATTCTTCTTGATCTTCTCAAGTCAAGTTCTCAGGTACGATCCCGATCCCCACGATCCCGATCCCCACGATCCCGATCCCCACGATCCCGATCCCCACAATCCCGCGCATGCGCAATGGGGGGCCCCTAAAGCCCTCCTAGAGGCCCTTAGGAGGTCCCTGAAGGCCCCTAAAGGACCCGTAGAAAACCCATTAAGAAACTCTTCAAGATAAGCCCTAAGGGGCCCCCTAAGGGGCCCCCTAAGGGGCCCCTTGGGGCCCTTTATTTGGACCCTTGTGAACACTTCGAGGGGCCCCCTCTCAAGCCACTACAGAGGGCTTCTCAAGAGGTGCTCAAAGGGCCCCCTAAGGGGCCCCTAAGGACCCTTCTTAGGACCCTTGAGGGGCCCCTTAGGGGCCCCTGAAGGGCCCAAGGGGGCCCCTTGGGGGCCCCCTAGGGCCCCCTTAGGGGCCCTTTAGGAGCTCCCTACAGGCCCCTTTAGGGGCTTCTTTGGGGGCCCCTAGGGGGCCCCAGCGCAGCAGATCCTGCGGCTCTTTGTGGGGCTCCGAGGAGCCTCTGGGGGCCCGGGAGGTGCTGAGGGGCCCCTGATAGCAGCAGCAGCAGCAGCTGCTGCTGCTGCTCCTGCTGCTGCTTATCAAAGCTGCTGCATGGGCTTGCTGCTGCGCTGCTCAGGCCTATGTCTCTGCTGCCGCCTCCGACCCCTCCTCAGTGCTGCATGCAGCAGTTTTAGGGCGAGACCCCCCGCGGGCGCGTTCGGCTTTGCTGCCAGCTGCTGCTGCTGCTGCTGCTGCTGCTGCTGCTGCTGCTGCTGCGCCGGAGTTCGGGAGGGCGTTGCACCCCACAGATCCCAGAAGGGGATCCGATCCCAACGATCCCAGGAGCCTCTCTGCTGCTGAACAGGCCCGCTGCCTCATAGAAATTGCCACAGACCCCAACATCCTTGGCAGAGCCTGGAAGGGCCTCATGGCTTTTATTTGAATTCATTTCCAACTCCTCTGCAGCTCTCAACTCAATGCGAAGCCCCAGCTAGCTGCGGGGCCCGTGGCTAGCTGGGGGTCTTGGCTAGCTGGGGGTCTTGGCTAGCTGCGGGGCCCTGGCTAGCTGTGAGGCCCTAGCTAGCTGCGGGGCCCTTGGCTAGCTGCGGGGCCCTTGGCTAGCTGCGGGGCCCTTGGCTAGCTGCGGGGCCCTTGGCTAGCTGCGGGATCTTGGCTAGCTGCGGGGCCCTAGCTAGCTGAGAAGCCCTTGGCTAGTTGTGGGGCGGCTAGCTGAGGGGTCTTGGCTAGCTGCGGGGCCCTGACTAGCTGCGGGATTTTGGCTAGCTGGAAGGCCCTGGCTAGATGAGCAAGTTTGGCTAGCTGGAAAAAGTTGGCTAGCTGGGGAACTATGTCTAGCTGGAACCCGTTAGCCAGCAGGGCAACTTTGGCTAGCTGAACAGCTTTGGCCAGCTGGGCAATTTTGGCTAGGTGCGTCCACAGTAGTGGGCGCTGGCTAGCTAGCCAGCTAGTTGATTCTGGCCGCGCTAGCTAGCTGTTTCGTTATCTAGCTAGCTATTAACCTAGTCAGCTATTTATCTAGCTAGCTAGCTAGCTAGCTAGCTAGCTGTGTTCTGTTCCCCGCGGTGAGCTTTAGTAGCAGATTATTGTAGAGTTTTTCAAGCATTGCTAGTGCTGCTTTTATTACCTGCGGGCTGGCGTAGGGCCAGCAGCAGCAGCAGCAGCGAGTAAAGGCTGCTGCAGCAGCAGCAGCAGTTGCTGCTGCTGCGGCCATAGTTAAAGGCATGAAACATTAAGAACCTGGCCAGTGTTCACCCCAGGCCTAGAGCGGCAGCGTGCGCGCTGCTGCTGCTGCGTTCGCCGCCGCTGCCACCGCAGCAGCAGCAGCAGCAGCAGCAGCAGCAGCAGCAGCAGCAGCAGGCTCAGGGGGTAACTGGGGCCTGGGGGCGGCTGCGCCAGAATTTGCTTCTGCACCAGCGGGTGAAGGCCGCCCTGTGGAGGCAAACGAGCTGAATGAAAGTGTTAAGAAGACAAGCAGCAGCAAGAACAGCAGCAAAAACTGGAATGTACCAACTGGCTAGTTCTGTTGCTTCTTGGAGGCTCCAGACATGCGGCGACAGCTTCTCCTGCTGCAGCATGAAAGCTGCTGCTTCCCGCAGGGGCACCTCCTGCGGCGTCGTGGCTGTGCTGCTGCCCCCCGCTGCTGCTGCTGCTGCTGCTGCTGCTGCTGCTGGCTGCAGCGTCTGCGGCCCCGTTGCTGTTGCGTCGTGCAGCGTGTTTGCTGCTGGCTCCCCAGCCAGGAAGCGCAGCACGGGAAAAAAGCTGCTGCTGCGGAGGCTGCTGTTTGCTGCTGCAGTGCACTTGACGCTGAAGAGGCAGGAGAAGGGGTTGGGGGGCAGCAGCAAGACGCAGCAAAAGAACAGCAGCAGCAGCAGCGAGAACGGCAGCAGCACCCGGTTCTTCCACGCAGACTTTCGAAACACATTTCCACTTATGTACAAAACTGCTGCATGCAGCACACAAATCCCAGTCCATATGAAGATGTACCCTGCTTCTGCATGCCCGTCGGCGCTGCACACGAGCTTCTCTGCTGCTGCTGCTGCTGCTGCTGCTGCTGCTGCTGCTGCTGCTGAGTCCTGCAGAAACGCCGCGGGCGGCCAGAAGCTGCTGCTGCTCGAGGGCCCCGTGAAAGGAAGCAGCTCAGTTTCGGCGAAGGCCAGCATGCGGTCGGAGTTGATGTCTCGCTCCAGCTTCTCTGCTTCTGCTGCTGCTGCTGCTGCTGCTGCTTCCGCTGCTGCTGCTTCCGCTGCTGCACCCAGCAGGGCCCCCTCCTCACCCTCACCAGCAGCAAAATCAGGACCCAAAAAGCCCCGAGAGAAGAGCCCCTGCAGCCGCGGGCGGCGCTTGGGTGCTGCAGCAGCAGCAGCAAAGTGCTGCTCGCTGCTGCCGCCGCCCTGCTGCTGCTGCTGCTGCTGCTGCTCCTGCTGCAGGTGCAGTCCGCTGTGGGAATCTTGGTCGGCAGCAGGCTGGGCCGGGGAGTGTTTTTGCCTGAGGTGCTCTTGCACCTGCTGCTGCTCTTCTTGCTGCTGCTGCTCTTCTTGCTGCTGCTGCTCTTCTTGCTGCTGGCCTTCTTGTGGCTGCAGTTGCCCCTGCTGCTGAGCGTCTTGCTGCTGCTCTTTTCGGTGGAGAGGCTCCGCCTTCTGTTGGTTTTGTTGCTGCTGTTCCTGCTGCTGCTGCTGTTCCTCGTGGCTCTGCTTCCTCCGCCGCCGCAGCTCCGGGCTGGGCTCCTCCCCCCCCGGCTGCTGCTGCTGCTGCTGCTGCTGCTGCTGCTGCTGCTGCTGCTGCTGGTGTGGGTTTTGGAGGCTGTGCTGGAGCCAGGCGCAGGGAAGCGGGTATGCTGCGGGCCCGTAGAAGAGGTACAGCAGCAGCAAAAAAGCTGCGAAGTCAACAGCAGCAAGAGTCAAGACAGAAAGGACAACTCCAGCAGCAAAAGGAGAAGAAGTGGGAGAGCGGGGCCCCAGGGGGCCCCCCGCGGGCTGCGAAGAAAGCATAGCAGCAGAAAGGCCCAGCAGCAGCACCAAGTCCAAGAAGAGCCCCGGCAGCAGCGGCAGCCCCGCGAACTGCGCCATCACCAGCAGCAAACTTGCTGCTGCTGCCAGCAGCCCGTAAGAGATGTGCAGCTTATAAATCCCCATGGCTGTGCTCAGGCTGCAGCGGCCCACGCGCACAATGTCCACCAGCCCCATCACGCCGTCCCGCTGCTCCCGCTGCTGCTGCTGCTGCTGCTGCTGCTGCTGCTGCTGCTGCTGCTGCTGCTGCTGCTGCTGCTGCAGCTGGGGGGGGTGCGTGATGGCGAAGGGGGCGGAGAAGGGGGCTTGCTGCACCTGCCCCACTTCCACCCCCACGTCAGCTTGCTGCAGCGCCAAAGAGTCGTTGCTGCTGTCCCCAGCCATTCCCGTCAGCAGCCCCTGCTGCTGCAGCTGCAGCACAACCAACTTCTTCCCCAGCGGCGACATCCGCGCAAACACTCGCACCCGCAGCAGCACCCGCTCCAGCAGGCAGCTGCGCCCGGGGGGCCCCCCTGGGGGCCCTTTCTGGGGGCCCCCCTGGGGCCCCCCAGACAGCAAAGCTGTGCGCTCGCTGGGGTCTGGACCTGATGCGCCCTTCAGCCGCCTCCGAACGATCCCGGGATCCTCGGGATCGGGATCGGGATCGGGATCGAGTTTGTGGGGTGGAGGTGTGGGGAGGGGGTCGGGGGTCTGCAGCAAAACCTTCATTGCTGCTAAAGTGAGGACCAGCTCTTTGAATTCATCACTGAAATAAACCCTCGAGGGTTCTATGACTTCCCCGGTTTCCATGTTGGTCCACTGGACCTCGTAGCGCTTCACGGCCTCGTCTGCTGCTGCTGCTTCTGCTGCTTCCGCTGCTGCTGCTGCTTCTGCTGCTGCTGCAGCGCGGGGCTGCTGGGGACGAAGAACTGGCGGGTTTTGCGGTGTCTCTGCAGGTCGGAGGCCCACGCGGTGTTGGCCCTGAGGAGTTGTGGGGTGTCTTGAGGTGTATGTACACCTGAAGGCACTTCTATGAGGCGAAAGCCACTAGCAGCAAGAGCCTGTCTTTCTATGGGGGCCCCCTGGACTTCAGCGAAAGAAAGAGGGGGGTTGAAGTCTGCTATTTGCAGCAGCTGCTGCGGGCTCCACGCTGCTGCTGCTGCTGCTGCTGCTGCAGCAAGCTGCTGCTGCTTCCGCACCCACAGAGCCACCCCGTGCGCACTCACACGCAGCGAGTTGCAGCAAGCCAGACACTGCAGCAGCAGCAGCGGCACCGATCCCGTATCCAGCTCCCCCCAGGGGGCCCCCCCGAAGAGGGGGGCCCCCTCTTCTCCGGGGGCCCCCCTTGGGGAGGCTGCTTCTTGCTGCTGCTGCTGCTGCTGCTGCTGCTGCTCCACAGGGATGGCGGTGGCCCCTGCGGCCTCCGCGTCGCCGCCGCCCGCCGCCCCCGCTGCTGCTGCTGCTGCTGCTGCTGCTGCTGCTGCTGCTGCTCGGGGCTCGCGGCAAAGGGCAAAGGGCCCAAAAGCCCCCCCAGAAACTGGCTGAACTCCCACAAGAGACATTTCCTGCTGCGTCAAAGTCCCTGTCTTGTCAAGACACATTACATTTATTTTTGCTGCCAGCGGCAGCAGCCCCGGCATCACCGCCGTGGCCCTGTACGTCTTCTTGCCCCCCTTCCCGCCGCTGCTGCTGCTGCTGCTGCTGCTGCTGCTGCTGCTGCTGCTGCTGCTGCTGCTGAGCCTGTGGGCGTTGATGCTGGCGCAAAGACCCCACAGCGCGGGCAAGTAGAGCGGCAGCATGCGCAGCAGCTTCTCGAGGGCAAAGCGAAAAGCATCAACAGAACTTTTTGTAAACGGAGTTTGAACTGCAGCAAGAGCAGCAGCAAAAAGTGCCACCAGCAGCAGCACGAAGGGGAACAGCTCGTTGTACTTGAAGCGCACCAAAGACGGCAGCAGCAGCTGCCGCAGCAGCTGCCCCCGCAAAGTTTCCGCCCCTGTTCTTGTGGCTACGCCCCAGCAGCAGCAGCGCAGCAGCAGCAAAGCAGCAGCGTCTCCGAGTTCCTTCTCCGCCAGCAGCAGCCCGCCTCCCGCTGCTGCTGCTGCTGCTGCGCCTCCTGCGCCTCCTGCTGCTGCCGCTGCTGCTGCTGCTGCTGCTGCTGCTGCAGCCGAGGAAGGCAAATCGCCACCCAGCAAATCAGCCTCCAGGCTGCTGCTGCTGCTGCAGTGCACCACTCGAGAACCTTCAAAGATGCAGCAGCAAGACAAACCCCCCAAGCTCAAGGGGGTCTTAATATCGCTCTCCAGCACTTCTGCTGCTTCCTCCAGCGTGGCTCTGCTGCTGCGCTGCTGCAGCAGCTGCTGCTGCTGCTGCTGCTGCCCCGCAGCAGCAGCGGGGGGCCCCCGGGGGGCCTCCAGGGGCCTCTTCCACACTGGCTTTGACTCTCCTGTTAGCTGCGACTCATCTACAGAAGCAGCTCCGTGCAGCAGCAGCAAATCGCAGGGCACTTCATCTCCGGCCTGCAGCAGCAGCAAGTCCCCCGGGGCAACAGCAGCAGCAGACACCCGCTGCAGCACGAACCGCGGACCCTCCGGGGCCCCCGGGGGGGCCCCCCGGCGGAGACAGAGGGCCCTTCTAGCAGCAAGTGCTGCTGCTTCGCGCTGCAGTATGACAGCTAGCTGCTGCTCTGCTGTGTGGAGAGAAAAGACTCCATAGATAAGCTCGCAGAGAGGCAGCAGCAGCAAAATGCAAAACTGAAGAGAGTTCAAAGAAAAGACTTGATACCAAAGAGCCATAAGAGTCACTAAATAGAATTCATCTTGCAAAAAAGAAGCAGCAAACAAGCTCGAGAGCGGCCGCAGCTGCTGCTGCAGCAAACGCGACCCCACAGCTTGCTGCCGCTGCTGCGCTGCTGCTGCTGACAGCAGCTGCTCCTCCAAACACGCCACAAACCGCTCTTCTGCTGCTGCTGCTGCTGCTGCTGCTGCTGCTTGGCCGTCTGCTGCAGCTGCTTCTGCTGCTCCCGCTCTTCTTTCCGCGTCCTCTCCCGTTGCTGCTGCTGCTGCTGCTGCTGCTGCTGCTGCTGCTAGAGCCTTCGCAGCCCTTCGGGCTCTCCGCTCCAACTGAGCAGCAGCAGACACGAAATAGCCAGCAGCAGAATCGAAGACAAGACGCACCCGGGCCACGTCGACATACCTGCAGCAGCCCTCCTCTCCCTGCTGCTGCTGCTGCTGCTGCTTCTGCTGCTGCTGCTGCTGCTGCTGCTGCTGCTGCGGGTAGTAGCGGCGGACTTTGCAGACAGAAGAGTGCAGCAAAGGCTCCCCCAAGTCATCTCTTTCGCAAAGAAATTCTATTTTGGGGGCCCCCTTGGTACCCTGGGGGCCCCCCTGGGGGCCCCCCTGGGGGCCCCCCAGGGGGCCCCCCAGGTGGGGGCCCCTCGGGGGCAGCGCGACTGCGTCTGCGCTGGCGGGGCTGCTGCTGCCGCTGGTGCTGCGGCTGCTGCTGCTGCTGCTGCTGCTGCTGCTGCTGCTGGGCAGCAGCTGCTGCAGCTTTCTGTCCACGAGGAGGTGGGAGCAGCGGGAAAGACAGGAAGGACTGAAGAGCAGCAAATGGAACTTCTTGCGGACTAAATGAATTCCCAACATCCACAAAAGACACCAGCAGAAGCAAGCAGCAAAGATGTAGACTCGGAGCTTCACGCACTGCGGGCTGGCCGGCGCTGCTGCTGCTGCTGCTGCTGCTGCTGCTGCTGCGGGCGCTGCTGCTGCTGCTGCTGCTGCTGCGGGCGCTGCTGCTGCTGCTGCTGCTGCGGAAAAGAGCCCCACCTCCTCGTACGCAGAGGCCGGCAGCCAAGGCACGAACACTTCTGCTGGCAGCAAAGAGCTGGCAGCAAATCCCGAAATGAAAGGCAGCAGCACAGACAGCAGCACGGAAGCAGCAGCAGCAGCATACACCAGACACCCCACAGGAGACACCCGCAGCCCCCAGTGCTGCATGTAAATGCCCCCGTGGTCTTCTATGGGGCTCACGCACACCCGCGCCCTTGCTGCTGCTGCTGCTGCTGCTGCTGCTGCTGCTGCTGCTGCTGCTGCTTCTGGGGGTTCTTTGGAGGGGGTGCCCGGGTCTTTGCTGCTGCCCGCCGCCGCTGCTGCTGCTGCTGCTGCTGCTGCTGCTGCTGCTTGCGCGAGCTTCGTCTGTCTGCTGCAGAGGTAGGCCCACAAGAACCTCCGGTACAGCAGCCACAGCAGCAGCAGCAGCAGCACGGAGAGATAAAAAGCAGCAGCAAAACACAGCAGCCGTACAGACACCGGAGTGGTTAAGGGAGAAGAGGGGCAGCTCAAAGCAGCCCCATCCCCGCCCAGAGCCAGTGCTGCCCCTATGCTGTCCATATCCATGCTGCTGCTGCTGCTGCTGCTGCTGCTGCTGGGGGCAGCAGCAGCAGCAGGGGACGCCTGCAGCAGAGCGCAGCTCGGCGCTAGCAGCAGCAGCAGCAGCAAAGATGAAGGGGCGCGCGAAGGCAGAAGCAAACGGCTGCAGTGTTTTGAGCGAGAGAGCGAGAAACAGCTCATCTTTGTTGCTGCTGCTGCTGCTGCTCTTGCTGCTGCTGCTGCTCTTGCTGCTGCTGCTGCAGGGCACGTTGTTGCAGCCGGGCGAGCCATGGCTGCTACAGGCCGCGTTGCTGCCGCTGCAGCAGGCGCAGCAGCTGCTGCTGCTGCAATTCCAGATAATACAGGTGCTTCTGCTGCAGCAGCAGCAGCAGCAGCTGCTGCTGCTGCTGTTAGCTGCCCGCCTGCGGCAAGGGCCCCTGCAGTCCCCTGGCAGCTGCCGGGCGACCGCGGCTTCATACTGAAGAGGACCAGTTGCCCATCAATTCTGCAGCTGCTGCTGCAGCTGCTGCTGCAGCTGCTGCTGCAGCTGCTGCTGCTGCTGCTGCAGCTGCTGCGGCTGCTGCTGAGGCAGCCGGCGCCGCGGACTTTGTGCTGCTGCGGCGCACAGGAAGCTCCGGCAGCCCAGATCTAAAAGGGCTTGAGTTGAATAGAAGTGATTTGAGTTGTAAAGCGCAGCAGCTTTTCAAAAAGCAGAAGCTGAGGTGTACGTACACCTCGAAAAGAGAAGGCCGCAGCCGCGGCGGCGGGTCTAGCAGCAGCAGCAGCAGCAGCAGGCGCGGCCAAGGGGCAGCAAAAGAGCAGCTTGAAAAGGCAAAGTTTGTGAAATTAAATAAATTAATTTCATTTTATTTTCCCTTTTTGCTTTTTAAACAAATTCAGCTGCAGACATTTCACAGACAGAGCTGCGGGCGCCGCTCGCGGCGGTCGAGACCAGCCAGCCTGCGTGTGCGTCAGCAGCAGCAGCAGCAGCAGCAGCTGCTGCTGCTTCCTCATTTTCCGCAAATTTTTCTCCTTTTTGCCTTTTTTAATTCCAAACTTCACTTCACTTCTTTGCAAACTCCAAGAAAAAGCCCTTTTGGGCTTCCGGGGGTGCCCGAAGCGGCCCCTTTGCGGCTCCGCTGCAGCGCAGCAGCAGCAGCAGCAGCAGCAGCTGCGGCGGTCGCTACCTCCTTTATTTCCCGCCGTTTTCGCCCATTTTTGGCTCTTTTTGCTCCTTTTTTCCCCTTTTTGCGGCTCTTTTTGCGTTATTTCTCTCAAAAGAACCTTCAGGGAACGCAGGGCTCGCAAAAAGACGCATTTCGAGCCCCGAGGCGCTTCCTGGTGCTTTCGAAGTCTGCACTCGAATTTCCGTGCTCTGCAGCTGTCCGTACACCCCAGCTGCTCCTTGAAACGAAGGGAAAAGGCAAAATTAAATTAAATAAATAAATAAATCAAAAGTAATAAATTAAAAACAATTTGAAACAAATAAAATAAAATAAAAAGACAAACG